TTTGTCACCTGATAGCAGCCAGCAGGGAACATAGAGATTGGCCTCTGACCAGGTGACTTGCTGCATACAAGAAGAGGCCAGGAAGGAGGTATAAAGAGGCCATGAGGTCGATGCCATTTTGTTCTCAGCTCAGCACTTCATCCCAGAGGCAGCACTGCAGGGATCGAAGAGCCCGTAAGACCTGTGAACCCATCCTGACCCTAGGATGTGCAACAAGAACTTTTAAACCAGCAGCTATAACATCTCTGCTAGAGCCTGCATCGAGGACTGGGAGATTCGGTGCATTTAAACCAGCAGCTGTAACATCTCTGCTAGAGCCTGCATCGAGGACTGGGAGATTCGGTGCATGTAACGTACTGTACTTTAATAACCTTACTCTCAGGCTTTTCTTTCTTGTAATAATAAACCTTTAGATATAGATTCTAAAGGATTGGCCCAGCGTGATTTGTGGGTAAGATCCAAAGGGAAATTGACCAGGGATCCATGGCTGGTTTCTTGGAACTGGACAGAACTTGTTCGGGGTAGGTGGGATTGGGTGCTAGGACCCCCCACCTGTGTATAGGCCCGGGGCCATCTGAGGCACGGATATTGCTGGGGTGTCAGAGGGGTTTTGCTCGGGAGGCTTCAGGCAGGCTGCTGAAGCGCTCTGTGGGACTGGTTTGTGGCCTGTGTGGAGAGGTCACCAGTCTGGGGGCTGTAAGGAGCCCCGGATTTGAGCAATTCGCCCTGAGCGGACGCCCTCAGCTGTGCCCAGACACGGCCCGGTCCGTCACACCCCATAGGGACTGTCCAGTTTGTCACATATATATTTCAGTGGGGCAGTGCTGGCATAGATCACATTACTGGATGTGCTGTTAAATGAGCCTCTGATTTAGTGGCTTATGTGGTTGGCTCCAGTAATGAATTTGCTTGTATAGCTACGAGGGCAGAGTTGACACCAAGGTTGATTGCAGGGCTGGGTTCCCGTATGCTTATGATGTAGCTGTGTAGCATGGTTATGGAAAGAGTTTATTTCAGAATAGGTCTTTCCTCCAAAGCCTCTGAGAGTGAGGGATTCCCTTTGATATTTATTTACCCACTGCCTCTTTTCATCCCCTTCCCCTCCCCTCCACTTCTTCCCTATTTAATTTTGGTTCTAGACATCCAACACTCTGGTCATCTGAAGAAGTGGGCTGCGCCCATGAAAGCTCATGATACCATCTACATGTTTTGTTAATCTTTAAAGTGCTACCAGACCATTTGTTGTTTTTTAAGTTTATCCTGTTCAGACTAACTCGGTTACCCCTCTGAAGCTTTTGAACATTTAAAAAGTAAGTTTGTATGGTAGGGATCTCAAACTCACAACTTCTAGAGACTGTCTGTAGCCTGAGCAAGTTCCTCAATCCAGCCTGTGCATGGCTGGTGGCATGAGAGTCCCTGCGTCCTGTGGGGGAGGGGAGAATGTCCCTACACTTTCCCCAAGTCCAGCCCCTGCGCTGCTCTAACCCCACCTCTTCCCACTCCTGCTCTGCCCTCTCACCCCATTGCATTTCTTCTCTCAAGCCCCTTCTCTTGCTGGGTTTACTGGTGGCCTGGCATGGGATGGCAGCAGGGGTCAGGCTCCCCTGGCACTCACCACAGCAGTCCCAGCCCACCCAGGGTCCCCATGGCCTAATCTGATTATGGGGGACCATCCTGTTCATAGGACAGTTGGGACAACTTCTATGCTGAACCAGCCAAGGGACAGGACCGCTCTGCACACATCTTCCCCAGGCCACAGGGACATGCCAGCAGTAATGCAGAACTAGCAGTTGGAAGCTGCTTTAGCCCTGCTGTCAGCGGTGGATATAGGGCAGGGTGAGCGGGGTGGCTGCCCTGGGCCCCACGTTTCAATAGGCCCCGCACTAGCGCCTGGGGCAGACTGGCCTGGCGGGATACTGGGAATTTCCCAGTGGGCCGTCCGCCGAAGGGGAGCTGGCGGATGCTGGAGAAGAAGGGGGATTGTGAGAGGGTGCCGCAACCCCGCACTTTAAATTCCCTGGTGCCGGCCCGTATGGGTCATGTGGGGTAGAGGGAGTGCATGCGCAGCGTGGTGAAATGCCACGCAACAGCTGAGAGGGGAAGACGCCCAGGCGTGGCATGATGTCACGGCCCAGGACTTTAAAACCGCGCAGCCCAGCGTTGCACCGCTCGGTTCGGCACGTGGTTTGGAGCCTGGGCCGGGGTCACAGTCGCCCTGCAAACTGGAAGGCAGAAGGAGGATGGCTTGTGCTGAGGGGAGATGGGCAGGTCAGGAGAAGAAAGGGGAAGGCACCAAGGGACAGCATGCAGAAGACACAAATTCCAGGGGGCCAAGTGGAGACAATGAGGAAAAGGGCAGGAGAGGGAAGGAGGGGAAGTGTCCATGAGAGGGGGGACAGGGTGATGCTGGGAGAGGAAAGGGTAAGGGCATTGGGGGCTAGAGGGGAGGGGGGGAGGAGGTGGTGCTGGGAGAAGACTTGAAAGGAGGAAGGTGGGAATGGAGCAAGGCATGTGTGAGGGCACAGGGGCATGAGGGGAATGGGAGCAGAAGGTAGTGAGGGGGTGGGCATCAGGGAAAAAGAGGGAAAAGGGCACAGGGGCAGTGAGGGAAGGGGGAGGCACCAGGAGGATAAGGGAAGGTTCAGGTGCCAGGGGATTCTGGGGGTGAAGCAGAAGGGCAGACATGGGCAGGGAAAGGACCAGCACCAGAGGAGAGATGCAGGGCAGGTGTGTAGAGGGAGGTGTTAGGAGAAGGAATGAGGAAGGGTAGCTCACATAATCAGAGGGGAGGGGGGGGGGGGGGGAGGAAGCCTTTTTAAAAAATTTTCTCCCAAGTAGGGCCCCGCAAAACTCTCATCCGCCCCTGCCTGCGGATTACAGTAGTGATACATTTGTTACAAATATTACTGGCTTATTAATTCAAAGTAAGATCAGCATAATAAAGGATTTTTCTTTGTTTGGAGCAGTATGTAAGAGGTAAGTTTTAGGGAGTTAGTCATAAGCGAACTCATGTAAGCCACCTCACTTCTCCAGTCTCATATTTGGTGTTTCCTTTTCTGTATATTGCTGTATTAAAGTTTTGAGTGCAACAATCAAACAACAATTAACTGAGTTAGATAAAATATCAATGGTCAGGATCTCACTGTAGGTACAGAGATTTGGTTGCACAGCAGAATCATAGAGAACTGTTGCACTTACACCTTCCTTTGTCCATTATTTTCTGATCAGACCATAGCTGCTGGCAGGGTGAGAGCTAGCTCTGTCTTCTTTCTGGTCCCAATACACCCCTACAGGCATCATCAAGCCTTATACCTTTACCTATCACAAAGTGGGATTTTGTAACTCTCCAATTCAGACAGACACCTGGGCTACAGTATTCACTGAAGGTGCTAACAGCTTTGTGAGTGGTATCCTTCCTGTCTTAGCATCTATCTATTTACTTTGATCTACTTAGGTGTAAGTACCCATTTTCCAGATACTTAATGATGCCCTGTCTCACACACCCCTTCCTTTTTTCCCCTCCCCTCTCCTTGCCCTCTCCTATTTATTTCAAGTTTTCATATCCCCTACTCATAACTCCAGTCATCTGAAGAAGTGGGCTGTGCTCATGAAGCCATCTACGTGTTTTGTTAGTCTATAAAGTGCTACCCGACCATTTGTTGATTTTTTGTGTGGATCAAATGTTATTATCCTAGAGGCCCAATTGAGTTCAGGAGTTTGTGACCAGTGGCATACAGTGTTAAAACATCAAAATGCTTTGTGAGCAGTAGGAACAAAACATTTAGACAAAAAGGATTTTAAGACAAACATTGTGTATGTACATCTTACCATCTCCTGATGATAATTACATGTGTAACTTATTGGTTCACCTCCAGTGAGGATTTTGTATCTGTCTGATTCCTTTTAACTGCTGCTCTTTCAAGGGTGCCACCTTTTAACTTCCCAGAGTTCTTTTGTATTTGTGGGCCTTTTCCTGTCTTGTCAAAATCATTGTTATAGGTTGACTGGAGATGGAGGGAAAAATCATCAAACTAATAGTTCTTTTATTGTCCCTTAACTTTTACCTGTATGGTGAGAGATGGCTACATTGGACAATTCTTTCTTTCCTGTTTGTTTTTCCAGACAGTTCCTTATTACACTAAAAGCAGTATGTTCATATCATAACCATCCCAGGAACCAATTCATAAATTGTCACAGGATAGTTCCATATCTGTCACAGATACATCTGTTAGTTTGCAGAAGACCCAAGCAGATTGTTGCCTCATTTCCACTAGACACTTTCTGAGAGTGAAAAGTATGCAGAACCATATGACATCATCTCACCTTTTCTCTGTAAGGTCGTTACCCTTCTTTATTGCTCCTTTTTCCTCTTCTCCTTGGACTTCTTCCCTTTTCCGTCTCTTCAAAACATCTCTCCCTCTCCCCCACTGTTATTGCACTGCTTATTTGCTTAGGCCAGGTCTACACTGGTGGAGAAAAAAAATTGATGCAAGATGCACAACTCCAATTACATGAATTGCAATGCTGGAGTCTACATAACTTGCACCAATTTTCTGGAGAGGCCCCACCACAGGAGGTCAACAGGAAAAGGCTCCCATCAACTTCCCTTACTTTTCATGACAATGAGTACCAGCACTGACAGGGATGCCCTCAGCGTTGGATTTAGAGGGTCTTCAGTAGACCGATTAAATGGAACACTGGAGGATCAATTGCCAGAGCGTTGATTCTCTAGCAATCAGAGAAGTGACTTTATACTGCATCCTGTTCCTTCCTCTCTGATTGCCTTGTCCAGAGTTTTCTCCCTTTCTCTCTCAACTACTCCCCAGCCCCTTGAAATCTTCTCCCAATCTTTCACACACTCATCCTCCTTAGAGGCTCATGGTGGTTGCTCTGCAGTGCGTAGGGGCGGTCTTCCCTGCTACTCCAGTAAGGCAAATGATGAGGCAGAGGGCAAATAAAGAACAGTGTTTGTATACTGCTAAACAACTTCAACAACTTCTCAATATAGGAGATAATTTGAAAATATAATTTGCTGAGCAAGTAACTGAAGTAAACATTCCAAAACACTGAAGTTTATTTCCTTTTACAAAAAATACATATTTTCAATCAAGTGGTAATATGCTGACATAATTGGTGCCAAATTACACAGTTCAAAGATATCATACAGTGCTTCAGTTAAATATTTAAAGATAGTTTACCAGAGTAATGGCCACTTTACGGTTTCAGGATTAGAAATGCTAGTTGCCAACTGTGCAAAACAAATTGCAGGTTAGATATTAATTAATGCCACAATGGTATAATTTAAATGACAGTGTCTTGATATAATTTGTTTAACTTCTGATTCAAATAATTTTATATAAACGGTAAGAGTATTAAAATATAGATTTTCTTAAAAATAATGTGACAGTTTATACCTAAATAAGTCATTTCTAGAAATATGATATGAAATATTTATCAAAGGCATTTTGTCCATAGCAGCTCTGCAATGTTACAAGACAATGTATTGTACCCAAAGCATGTAAAGCAGAATCTTTTGATAACTGAGAGCCATTTGTCATCTACGAGTAAAGTTTGTACTGTATTTATTTGTACATGATGGCTTCATCTTATCCTGCTTAGAATGGATCCTCAAAGTCATATTTTGCATGCAGAGCAAATGTGCACTTGTTAAGTTTTCTTGGTTTAAGGTGATCTAGTGGCAAGAAATGCTTGTTGCTTAATACAGAATGAAAAGTGGTTATTTATGCATGTTTACTCTCTGCCTGTATTTTAAGTAGCTTCACTACCAGCTTTTCTTGACAGAGTCTCAACAATCCATAAGACTCTTTCAGATCACAGTAATATGGTATCCTCCTTCCTACCCTATTTCCTCCTCCTAAAAACTTCGTAACAATCATTTTCTGGAATGAATGAGAAGCATACCATAAGGTTAATTCAAAGATCCTGAACAGTGGATTGTATGCCAACTAACACTACTGAGATCTATTACATGATGAGCAACAGTAACATTAAACTCGGTATATTTAATAAGCAACACTATGTATCTTATGCAATGGAAGACTATATAGTTGTTTCCATTAAATAGTTTTAAATCCTGAATTTCATCAGTTCATCTTTAAAATCGTTTAAATTGTTCCATGATAAAAACAGTTAATCTGAAGTTAGCATTAATTAAGGCCTATGAGGACAAGCACCCATTATCTGACCTTAAATGAATAAAGTTAAAGGAAAATATATCCGTTGCTTTTTCTTAGGATATATTTAAACAGGTGACTTCTTTTCTGTCCAGAGGCAGATGTAATATCATCATTGAAAAAAAAAAAGTTAAAACAAAAGATTAAGAGCCTATTTAATGCTTTCACTTGTCTCTGCTAATATCAGTTCTAATTTGTAAGCAATAATTTTCCAATAAAATTCCTCAAGTGTTAGGTACTTCGTCCAAGTCACAATAATATGGCAGTTGGTTTTTTAACATAAGATGAAAAACATCTAAAGAAAAAAGGCATTAAAAGCATTTACATATATCTAAAATGGGACAGGCTCTTTACAGAGCCAATGTAAATGTTGCTTCCCCCTGAGTTAACATCAATGAGCACAGCAGCACCAATTTAAAAAAAAAACATTCTGCAATGCCAGCACTGCATTGTGATCCTGCATGTTTATAATTTCATATGCCCACAGGTTTTCCATAAGAGCACTTGGTTTAACACATAATTAAACACAAATTCCTTTAGTGCCATCAATATTTAAGTGGAACTCCAGTAGGTTTCTACTAAAAAAAAAAAGCTAAAAATTCTTTTTTCCATTATTATTACTGTCCATTGCAAGTGTTAATATACCATTCACAGCTCCATTCCATTAATCTCTGACAGTCTCTTCCACGAAGCTTTGAAATGTGTTGTGTGCATTGCATTAAAGATCCTAGTAGAAATCATGTTGTACCAGTTTTGAACAGAATATCCTGTAAATCATCTGGGAGTGCTAGAATAATTTTATTGATATGCATTTGTAGCTGTTCCACAGTGTCAGGTTTCACAGGTAGATGTTCTCTGTCAGCTTGTAACTAGAGGAGGCACAATTAAACAAAATTTTGCAATTAAAGAAACTGCAAGTGAATTTCATGTTTATAAAAGAGATCAGACTAATGAATCTGAAGTCCCTCATCTATCTAATGAACAGGTATGTGGACAGTGGGAATGCAAGCTTCCCGTCATACCACCAGCATATTTTAATGGAGTTCCAGGAAACAAGGAAGTTTGATTTCCCGGTTCATTTAGGACTCTGACTCTTTCCTATAAGAGTTAATGGAAAACACCCACTGGCTTTACTGGGCACAGAATACTAGCCTTCCCCTCCCCCCCCAAATTAAAACTCTACTTAGATTGCCAACATTTGCAAATGTAACTGGGTGCTTTTTCGTTAAGGGCTGCAGGGCCTGCGGCTAGCCAGCCCTAATTACTGAATGAGCCACATGTGAGATCAGGTGATTTTCCAATAAAGAATTAGCCAGAGCCACGAAAGCTCATCACCTATTAAACCATCATGTTAATCTTTAAAGTGCTACATAGTCTGATCTTGCTAAAACAAAAGGGAAAAACTAACACGGCTACCTCTCTATTACTATTCAACATGCGGGGTCCTGTTAAAGTGAGTTTTGAGATATCGCTAGGCACAGACTGAGTGCTGTTCAGCCGCCAGCTTTCTGAACTCAACCATCCACTTCTGAATTAGTGACTTGGATAATCACCATCAATTTTCTGAGCTACCAAAATCTTGGGAGGAAACTCAGTTTAATTTGAAGTGGCTGTAAAACACACAAACACATTCACTCAATTTGCAATATGAAGTAATAATTTTCACCTGTACTTATTATAGTTACATACCAATTTATTCTTTAGCTTTAAGACAAGATCCACTGTTTCTACTTCAGTATGTTTCTTACTCCAGAAAAGGAGGTCCTTTCAAAATAAAAATTCACAGGGCTGAAATATTTTCATATACAAACACGCAATACTTTCAACAATGCCATTAGTTTACATTTGAGAAACATCTATGATATTTAGAACATTACTGAAATATACTACTTCTCACTACTTATGCATAGACAGACCGATCAATTGCATTTTCCAGCTCTCCCGCATTAGCGTACTTTCTGTTTCAAATGTTGCTGAGATTTTTTTTTTAAGTGTTTCAAAATGGCAATTATTTTATTTTTATATTTTTAATTGAAATAAAAGGCTTTGCCAAATTGGACCTGACAAGTCTCTCAATCTTTTTAATAGCTATAGTTGGCAGGTGGTGAGGATGAGAACACTTCTGAAACATGGAACAAAGTTTGGATGTAAAAAATAAATAATTTTATAAATCACTAAAAGCAAACAAAAATAAATCTTACCTCATTACAGAGCGCTTCTAAATGAAGGGCCTCCAACTTCTGTGTCATTTCCTTCCACCTGGTCCTGAACCAGCCATTGAAATTTGGAGATTTCAAGAAGTGTCTTTAATAAAAGAGTGCAAGCAAATTTATATTTTAATTACATTCTTAATCCAGTTCTTTCATTCTCCCCCACCATCAAAGTCTCTTACACAACTTCACAAGATTGTATAGTAGTTTTGTTCTGCGGAGGAGGAGTATATAAATCATTCAGGAGGTTTTCATCTTTCAGAAAAATTACTGATTCTGTTTCTGAAGGAAAGATATGTAGTGGAACACTATTTTAAAAAGGTCACTAATCTGAAATAGGTTTCTGTGTCCTTTCAAAAAAACACCAAACTACTCTTATGCTAGAAAGTCTTTATGAAATCTTCAGGCACAAAGATGCTTCTATTTAAACGTCTTGTCGTTTTATTGAAATATTGATTATCCAAAACTATCTGATATCCCCTGCCAGTAAGCTTTCATAACCTTTTCCATTCTGATGAAAGGAAAGACTGAAAACTAAAGGGTTTCATGGTAATAACTGCACTTGTTAGTTCTTCATTAAGTTTAGGGGTTAATATAGCTTCTTTCATCTTGGATTCTTACTTCCCACGTGGGTAATCATAAGAGCACCATAGAGCCAACTATTCCTGTTTATATAGCTTATTGGCAGGGGCAACTGGTGAGGAGGGACTGGGGAAGAGGGGCACTGAACATGTGACATGCCTCCACCCGAGGGAAAGGCTGGGCCCCCCACCCTCTGCCCCAGACCCCACCTCTACCTGCCCTTGTTCTGCCCCCTTCCTACCATTTCTCCACCCTTTCCCCTTGGCCTCTCTGCTCTGCTCCGTTCCCACCCCTGCTCCACTTTCTCCCCTCCCCTTGATCTGCTTCCCCTTCTTCCTCTTCAGCCCAGGTGATTAGTGGTGTGGGGGCTGGTGCTGGCAGCAGGGTTTCTAGCACTCCCACACTCATCAGCAGGGAAAGTGGAATAACGTGGCCTCAGCTCACTCTGCTCCGCTGCCTGCTGCTGAGCACAGGGGCTGTCCCAGCTCAACCCCAAGCGACACAATGGCCAGGAGAAGAGAGTCGCCCGCCCCCCGCCCGTGAACGCGGGGGGGGGGGGGGGCAAAGTTGGACTCCTGCTGCCAGCACCAGGCCTTGCCACTAGTTCTCCTGGACACCCTGAAACTCTGCCCCCTCCTACTCCTGGTGTTTGGAATACATGTCCCCTCATGCCCTTCCTGCATGTCTGCCCTGATTATTGGTAAATTTATGCCAGATGCTGTACAAACATTTGTTAGAAGCAAATTCTATCCTGGAGGACTTACCATCCAAAAGACAAAAAACCCCAGAAGAGTGGCAGTAGATGCCACTTGTATGTAACATACAAGCAAATAAATATGGAGAAGGATTAACCCATATTGGTTAATTCCTTTATTTTAAAAATAAGGGTAAAGTTACAGTGAGGACTGGCCAAGGCCAAATGTATGAGAGCAGGAAAAACAAAGGGAGGAGCAACTGCCATGGCTCATCTGTCTATCCATGATGAGCAAGTAGTGTTTTGGATGCATCACAGCTGAGGTGAGTGGTAAGGAAGGATCTGAAAAAAGATAAAATACTAGTTGTAAAGACTATTTTAGGGATTTTTTTTTAAATATAAGGGTTGTTATGGGATGTAAAGACTATTTTAGGTTTTTTTTTTTTTAAATATAAGGGTTGGCATGGGAGAAAAAGCAAAGATGCTTTAGGAAAACGTCTGATGGGTAATAAAAATGACCAATTTTGGCAGAGTGAATACAGGGCTCAACAGCACAGTGTGATACTAGGTCAGATAGAGAAGCTGAGGTTAAGTTGTGAAGAACCTTAGAGTCAAGATAAAAAGTAACGTGGATGGGAAGGAAATACTAAAAGGAAGAAGTCCAAAAAGACTCTGATGTCAAGAATATAAACCAGGAAGATTATCTTATCAATGGCATTTTGAAAGACAGAAGCACTGTTAAAAGAGTTTATCACTATACATAAGACTGGTTATACTGGGTCAGATCAAAAGTCCAACTACCCCAGTATCTTGTCTTCTGACAGTGGCCAATGCCACGGGCCCCTGAGGGAATGAATAGAGCAGAAAATCGTAGAGTGATCCACCCTGTGTCACACATTCCCAGTTTCTGGCAAACCGAGGCTAGGGACATTATCCCTGCCCATCCTGGTTAAAAGCCATTGATGATCCTATCCTCCATCAACTTATCTAGTTCTTTTCTAAATCCTGTTACAGCCTCCGCCTTCACAACATCTTCTGGCAAAGCATTTCACAGGTTCACTGAGTTGTGTGAAAAAAATACTTCCTTTTGTTTATTTTAAACATGCTGCCTACTGATTTCATTTGGGGACTCCTAGTTCTTGTGTTATGAGTAGTAAATAAACACTTCCTTATTTACTTTCTCCACACCAGTCATGATTTTGTAGACCTCTATCATATCTCCTCCCCCCAAGTCCTCTTTTCAAGCTGAAAAGACCCAGTCTTATTTTCTCTTCATGTGGCAGCCATTCCACACCCCTAATTTGCCTTTTTCTGAACTTTTTCCATGCAATATTCAAGATTTGAGCATACCATGGATTTATATTTACTATATATTTTACAGAGTTTGTGCATCTGTCCATGTTCGTCCTTCCATGAGTCAGTAGGAGCTAGGACCAGAGTTTGTGCATCTGTCCATGTTCGTCCTTTCATGAGTCAATAGGAGCTAGGACCACCACATTTGGTATGCATCTTCCTCTTATCATAACTTAAACCAAGGTCAGGGTATAGTTGCTCGAGGGCAATGGGATGTGCATGTATCAAGACTGTTTCACATCAAATGGAAAGGGAGAGTGTGATAGCAGGGACAGTTACACTCATGAATGATCACAAATTGGGGGAGGGGGAGAGAAGCCAAGTGTCTTAGCCCTGGAAGCAGCTACTGGACAGCAGCACAGTCCCTGCTTCCCAGGTCTGCCCATCATGCCATGCAGCCCCTACTGCTCTGGGCTGGTCTTGGGAAACAGCCTTTGGTTGGGCTTCTGGGAAGAAGCCACCCGGGTGGTGTGCACAATCCCCACCACTCCAGCAACACCAGGTAAGTCCTCTAGTAAAGATAATATGATATTTTCTGTCTTATCTGTCCCTTTCTTAATAATTCCCAACACTGTTTGCTTTTTTGACTGCCACTGCACATTGAGTGGATGTTTTCAGAGAACTCTCCACAATGACACCAGAATCTCTGAGTGGTAACAGCTAATATAGATCATATTTTATATGTATAATTGGTATTAAGTTTTCCAATGTGCCTCACTTAGCATTTATCAACATTGAAATTCACATGCCATTTTGTTGCCAAGTCACCTAGTTTTGTGAGATCCTTTTGAAGTTCTTCACAGTCTGTTTGGGACTTAACCTTTGTGAGTAGTTTTGTATCATGTGCAAATTTTGCCACCTCACTGATAACCCCTTTCTCCAGATCATTCATGAATATATTGAATAGGACTTCTTGTCCCAGGACACACCCCTGGGGGACACCACTATTTACTTTTCATTCTGAAAAGGACCATTTATTTCTACCCTTTGTTTCCTATCTTTTAAGCAATTACCAATCCACGAGAGGAGCTTCCCTCTTATCTTATGATTGCTTACTTTAAGAGCTTTTGGTGATGGACCTTGTCAAAGGCTTTCTGAAAGTCTTATCCACTGGATCCCCCTGTAGTATCAAAATACTTATGTAAAAGAGATGGTATTAAAGAGATGCTTTATACAGCACCTTTTTCTGGCCATTCTATCAGGAAAGCTGTACATCCTAGCCTCCCATATGAGAAGGTATTACAATTGAAGCCAAATAGATGGAAAAGATATTCTGGGTATAAAATATGTTCCAGAATGTAAGATGGACCAGAACGAAACTATGAAATCCCACTTTCAGCTATTTAGAGCTCCTCAATGAAAAGCTTTTCTTCCCATTTATCTAGTATGTTTTAAAATCTAGAATATAGTCATTTATAATATTTTGCAATTTCATATGAACCCACTTCAGAAGGATGGTAACAACCCTTCATTAAAAAGGATGTTGGTACCCACACACTCCCTACAGATAATAGGGACATACCAAGGTTCAGGAAAGGGTCTAAAATGACGTGATGGCTAGAATTGTTCTAATCAAACCACCAGATGCAGGTTGATGAGTGGTGTCTAGGTAACGTCAAAGAGTGGCAACCTGACATGTCAGGAGTGAAATGTAATTTGTTTGTACCCTGTATATAAAGTGGTGTCTTGGAGGAGCTATCTTTGTCCAACTGACTGAGCTGTCCTATTGTCAGGGAATACATATGCACAGTGGTTCGGTAAACCTGACTGGGTGCCTTCAATCTTTATCTGATTTTGTGCTCTTTGGGAGTTCTCTCAGAGTCTGCTGTGTTGACTACTTGCGCAAAGTCAACACAACACAAAAGAGGAGCACACATGCACACAGCCAAACACACATATCATTGATAGAGCAGGAGACCTGTCAGGACACAACAATGTCTGCAGGAGGTTAGGACACATTCTGCATCACTGTATTTACATTACAGATTGTGTGTCTCATTTTAAAAAGTGACCTGTAAAGTCCTATCCAGTCTCCCTTTAATCCAGAGGTGAGCTGTGGTCCTGCTTTCTCAAGTGTTTTCATGAAGTCTTCCTGGCTGAATTGTCTCAACTGTGGTGGACTCTACAAAAGAAACAACATTTTTGGCAGTTCACAGTATGAATTCTCTTTAGTCACAAAGATTTTCAGCTCATACAAGGATTATTGCCTTACCTTCCATGGAGAGATAGTCTTTTGCAGGGGCATTAGGCTTGCCACATAACGTTCCTGAGAAGCAAGAAAAAGAGTTTAAGAAAAAAATTCCTGATCTTGGAGCCACCATATTTTTAATTAATTCACAATAATATGAATTCACTTTGTTTAAACATTAACCTATCTATAAACAGGCTGCCTAGATTAGTCTTCTCAGATATCATAACAAACTATAATATACATTTATATAGCTCTTCTCTTCATAAAGTGATTTATAAACTAATATATTCACTGAAATCCAATCAGCTCTGGGATGGAAGGAGGCAATTAAGCAGTTGACAACATTCAACAGGTGGAGAAAGAAAACTCATTCAAAGAATAGGTGAAGAGTTAGTGGAAGTACTCAAAAGTTTTTTTTTTAAAAAGCAATGAAATTAGTAGTGTCCATTCAGAACAGACAGGATCTCTATTGCTAAGATTTTGTCTGAAAAATTTCCTCCTAGTATCTGCCTTTATAAATACACAAGCAAGCGTACATGGCTGGTATCTGAACCTGTGGTTTCAGGGATTTTAAAATGTTTCAAATCTGACGCTTAGATTACTAAACTGCCATCATCTTTGTACTCCAACTGAGAAAATTTAAAACTGCAAGACTAACCATATGTTTTAAAAATAAAGCCACAAAAGTAGTTCTGATCTCTAGTTATTTGAAAGAAATTATGATAACAGCTTTTACACTAAAAAAAACACCATACTTCTACCATAGGTATTGGCCAACTAATATTACATATGTCATCTTACTAATGGAATGATGAAGCTTTGTGTCAGTTCCAAGAAATAACGTCTAAGAATTACACTTTGAGCTTCTGCAGGACGTTTCTGTTGTACACCCTGTAAGAAGCAACCACAGCAATAACCTATTATTCCAACATATGACAAAATAATTTCTTAATTGCTAAACAATCAGGAGACACATCAAAGACGAGGTTCATGTTCTATTAACATATACCTATTTAAAACAGATTTAAGACATTTGTGCAGAGAAATTACTAACAATATTAATTGCATTCAATTCTAATTCTTAATCACAGTGATTTCAGTTTCTTTTTGTTTATGTTTTTACATGGTCTTTGTATTTCAAGTTCATCTAGGAAAGGAAGTCAAAACATTAGGGCTATATCTACACTTGCGGCCTCTTGCGCAAGAACAGCTATTCTTGCACAATAATCCGCAATGCATCCATACTGCCCACCCGCTCCTGCGCAAGAAGATGTACAGTACGGCGTGGTAAGAGATGGCTTCTTGTGCAAGAGCTACGCTCTTTTCTTACATGTGTAAGCTCTCTTGCGCAAGTACTCTTGTCAAGACACCTTCCACTTGTAAGAAAAGAGAGTAGCTCTTGCGCAAGAAGCACAAGTGTGGATGCTCTCTTGCGCAAGAAAGCTATTTTAGCTATAGAGTTTTATTGCGCAAGAATCCCTACCACGCATCCACACTGCCATGGGCGCTCTTCCACAAAAGCACATCTCACATATGGCAGTGTGTACGTATTCTTGCGCAGGACTCCTTGCACAAGAACCCGTGCGCAAAAAGTTCTTGCACAAAGAGCCACCAGTGTAGACATGGCCTGGGAGAAAAAAATATTCGGGGAATAACCTTAAACCAGTTAAAGCTTGGAAATTTTGAGCTGAGAAAACTTGCACAAGAGATTTCTTGGGACAAAGAGGTTTAGAAAAGCATGGACTCTGGTTATTCATCAAAACTCTCTGAATATTTATGCTATTTAATTCCACAATTCAATTTTTTTCTAAAGCACCTGGCTACAACTACTGACAGGAAGGCAAATGCTCCTAGAAGACAATGTCTGAATCAGCTCAGGCAGGTCAAGGACACCAAAAACTTTGAAAATATGAACTTATATACTTGTTTTAGTCTCTGTGAGCTCCATCTACATACTTGACAACTTAGGGTGACCGTATTTCCCTATACTGAATATAGGACACATGGTAAAATTATTTGAGTTCAATGGCAATCAATCAGAACTATGCAGAATAAATGTTCAAATTAACATCAAGCTGACTGTGCACCTGCTAAAAAGAAATATTGCATAGTTCAATTATTTTTGTTTACCTTGTTTTTATGGTTCACACTAAGGATGTTAACTAACGAGTAATTTACTAGTCAAGTAGTTGATGGAATTTCTATTGACTAGTCGATAGGCACTTCCACATTCCTCCTTTGAAATGTCCAAGAGCACTGAAGTACCCTCCCCCCCGCCTCCTCCTCTGCTGTCTCCATCTAACTAGTCAACTTGTCCTTAATATCCTTAGTTCACACAAGGAGAGGTGATACTTCCCCACCTCTTTTACATGGGGGGGGGACCAACAGACCCGACCTTCTCTGCCCATGATCTCCACCCCTCATGCTTGGCTGTGCTCCTAGGATGGACCATCCTTTCCCAGTATCTGGCACCACATCTTCCTGAGGCAACACTTGGACAGAAGTGAAGCAAGCACTCTGAGTCACATACCCTCCTCCCCAGATTTCTGCCAGGGTTCACACCAGAATGTGTCCAGCAGCAGCCTTTCGGCACCCTATGGAAAGGGAAGGGATGGGAGCTGCTTACAGATGCAGGGAAGTAAGGCGGGGAGAAGGGATGATTTGACCTATGTCTTTGCAGCTCCGTTCCTTCATGGCTGGAAGCAGCTTGTCCCTTCCTGCCCACACAGTGTAGAAAGGCAGCAAATACCTCTAGTTTGCTGCTGGCCAGTGATATGACCCAAAAGCCTCCTGTCTCCTGGCTACAGTGTTGGAACTGAAAGTTTTATTCTTGTTATATTTGTATTTTAGGTTTAGAAACAATAGTAATGTAGTTTAATGATGTAGCATAATATAGCAATATAAGGTGTATGTTAATACACACTTAATATTTCATTAAATTAAGTCCTTTTAGTGAAATGTCTATTTGTTATCCTAAAGTTTAATAAGTTTAGTAAATGGGCCTAAGTAAAAAAAATAGTTTTTGATATTGTGTCTGTGTTAATGAGACTAGAAGAATGTTGAAGGCTAAGGCCTTAATAGTTTGATTTACAATGCCTCTTTGCTTTGCCCAATGTAGATATTGGTGCTATGCCCTCCCTTGAGAAGTCTTTGTAAAAGATTGTTTGTGTGTGAAAGAGGCATGTATATTTCTAGATAAAGGTGCGAAAGTTATTACTCAGAACCAGATGGCCAAAGGAGGAGGGGTAAGCATGGGCGAAAACGAGACGGCCCGGCATCAAACCATTTATAACCATCGATGTGTACCCCTACTCACAAGACGATCGGCTATTGGCAGATTAACGGCCTTAAAGCGGAGCCAGCACCCTTGAAAGATGATTGATTACAGGATGAGCTTTGGAAAATGTTTTGGGAACACTGACACCAAAGAGAGAACATTCTGGTCACAGGCTGACAGAGTGGAATCCATTGATTTCAACGGAAAAAAGGATTATAAAAGCATGGTGCTTTGCTATGGAACTTTGGGTTTGTCTTGCCACCAACTCCAGAAGAGCATCAGATCGATTGACCGACCGACAAAGGCCCTGCTCTCCCTCTGTGTTCAATCTAGCTGGCCACTAGACTGATACAGAATCTGGACTGGTAATCATAACATCATCTGGCGGGACAGACAGACAGACAGACAGACAGACAGACAGACAGACAGAGAGAGAGAGAGAGAGAGAGAGAGTGTGTGTGTCAGTGACTGAAAAGCATATGCAACTGTTGTAGTCTCAAAACATGCGGAGTACTGCCTTTCTTTCCCCCTATAAAAGATCTTGTGTACTTTGTTTAAGCAGATAACATTTTTTTCAATACATGCGGAGTACTGCCTTTCCCCCATAAAAGATCTTGTGTGCTTTGATAACATTTTTCTGGTGGAGAATGTGAAGGGGGAGAAGTATGCTGTAATTATTGACAATATAGCTAAAAAGGTGTGCACCCCCTGGTCAGGAGATACCGGCTAATAACAAGGAACTTATTGTGATCACTATTGTATTCATTGTTGGTATATACACCCTCGGTTGTAGCAGGGGCAAGAAATAGGAGAGGTTTAGTATCCCTCTCTCCACCCCGGATTACTGGGGGAAAATTGATTTTGGGGGGGGGGGGGGGGCTGCATGCCTAGGGAAATATCCCAAATCCCTGGTCGTAGCAAGGGTGAGCAACAGGGGAAGGACTTAGTGATCCTTGCTCCAAACTGGAGTAACATTAGGTGCAGACACCCTCGGTCACAGTAAGGCTGAGCACAAGAGAAGAACCTGGGATTTCTTGCTCTGACCCTGGAAAGAATTTACATTTGACGAGGGGAGGACTGTCCGCCTAGGAAATACCCTGAGTCACATACTGTTGTATGTACCCTTGGTCGTAGCAGGGGCGAGTAATACAGGGGGAAGCTTAATGTCAATCCCTCTGGCCCAGAGACAGTTAAACTCAGCAAGGAGGAGTGAGAGAAGGAATTTGTACACCCCTGAGCTAACACAGGCACATGAGAAGACCCTGAATACAAAATGTTTAGGTGAAAAGAGTCCCCTAAGGACAATGCTCAGGAAGAGCTGAAAAAACTGCCGTGTGTACAAGAAGTAATCCCTTTTAAAGAAGTTTTGCAAAAAATTTGGTCACAGTCCATGGACAAAGCAAGCAATAGCTGATGTCCACACCATAACTGATTTGGAAGACAAACTGGCAAAATACCTATTGATTTATAAACCTTAAACTGTACTAAAAAGGGATTCAGCTACACTCTGGTTGTTATGAGAAGCCTGTAATGAGGCATTCCTCTGGCTGGCTAATTGCCGAGCAGCGAACACTGGCCTGTGTGAAAAGCTCAATGAAAGTGAGCAAGACGCAGACAATTGGAAAGTATCAACTACAGGGGTTCACGGCCAATTAGATGCGCTTAAAGATACTGTAAGGGAACTGGAAAAAAAAGGAGAAAGGATTACTAGAACAGATAGAGGAAAAAGATAAAATCATGAAAGAAAACCAAGTCTTACAAGGCGTGATAAAGAAACTAACACTTGAACAAGGTGGAGCCCCTGCAAATCACAACTGCTGAGAATCCATTATTAAACAGCTTAAACAGAACCTAGGCTTTGCAACCCGTCAGTTCGCAGCAGTCACAGCAGGAGAATGGGATCAGACACCATCCAGAGGAACCCAGGACTGGGAGGAAGGAATATGGGATCCCAAGGAAACCTGGGAAGGAGATATATGGAATAGTCCACAAGATTGTACATGATGGGTGTGCCTCCATGGCCCCGATAGCGGCTATCCAACGAACCATGGTAACAACCTCCGTAGATAGTGGGGGCAGTACTACTATTACCAGTATCAGCCACCAATTTAAAATCAATGGCTGAGAGTTTGGGGACCCTGACTCGAGACACCTTTTCCAGGTGGTGCACGAACGTCGTGTTACTCGCAGGAAGGCAAGGGCTGACTATCCCGGAAGTCTACCAACTAATGGGAGTGTGTGCAGCCCCAGGGATCAGAGGCACCCTGGACAGACAGGCAGTTGACCACAGCGCTGGACTCTTGACTCTGATGGCGACATTTGGGATACAGATAGGCAGATGTAATTTTATGGCACAGGCTGTAGCATCCACCCAGAAGCCTAATGAGGACCCCGAAAATTATTTAACCCAATGGGCCCTGATGCAGATTGACTGGTTTAGTACCAGTTGATGCCGCTGCGACTGTGATAGATGACTTACCATTTGATATCCAATCCTTAAGGCAGTGGTTCTCAACTCGTTTCAGTCCACGGACCACCAGGCCAATCAAAAAAATTTTCATGGACCACTTCTTTTTTGAGACATGATACAAAAGAACAGATAACGAACATTTTGGTTTGAAATTTATTTCTTACTAACAGATTTTTGGATTCTCTTCTCACTGACAAGCTATTCAATGTTCGGAGTGATACTTGATAATGCACAATGAATATCGCCTTCTACTGCAAGCTGATTCCTCTGTATGGACTTAACGTGCAAACACCACGAAAATCCAGTTTCACACATATAAGTTGATGCAAATGGCAAAAGAAATCTGATTGCGTGTGCTGACAGAATTGGATAACTCCCGGTCACGCTGGCCCAAAATTTCTCTATGGTAGACTGCTGGTACATGTCTTGAGCCGCAAAATCATTTTTCAGATCCAAGAATTCCTCCTGCAGATCCTCTGGAACACTATTAACATCTGCTGTAAATGGATTCCTGATGAAAGATAATCCATCCCTTGTCCTGTCTACCTCCGGAAAGTATCGTTGGAATTCGTCTCAGAGCTTCCGTACATGATCGAGATGGCTTCCTTTTCCCCCGAGCATGGCATCCGCATATGGAAATTGAACCAAATTATTGTCTTTGATTCTTACGATCCAGAGTTCCAATTTGTCAAGAAAAGCCTTGTGAATTCCTCTTTCCTCTGAGCCTGGAGAAATAAATCCAACTCCTCTCTCAATTAAAAAACTCTGTTGAGTAAGTTCCCTGCTGACAACCACCATAAAGAAGTGTAGAACAGCAACACATTAAAGTTGGAACCCATGTCCCTGCAAAATCTTTTGAACAGCCTGGTGTTCAGAGCCGATGATTTGATATGATTCACCACTTTCACCTGAATTCCTCTTTCCTCTGAGCCTGGAGAAATAAATCCAACTCCTCTCTCAATTAAAAAACTCTGTTGAGTAAGTTCCCTGCTGACAACCACCGTAAAGAAGTGTAGAACAGCAACACATTAAAGTTGGAACCCATGTCCCTGCAAAATCTTTTGAACAGCCTGGTGTTCAGAGCCGATGATTTGATATGATTCACCACTTTCACCAACACTTTGAAAATGGCGTTCAGTTGATCAGGCAATGTTTCTGATGCCAAAGCTTCCCTATGAATGAAACAATGAACTCCAGTTACCATTGGAACGCGCTGTTTCACCAGTGTTTGGAAGCCTGATCTTGAGCCCAGCATGGCAGGTGCACCATCAGTGGTGACACCCACAAGATGTACCCAATCCAGACCATGTACTTCAAAGAAATTGTTAACAATTTCCATCACATCCTGAGCTTTTGTGGTGGTATCAAGCGTCTTACAAAAAAGAAACTCGTCTTTGAAGTCTCCCTCAACCATGTATCATGCGAACACCAAAAGCTGAGAGCACAATGCAACGTCAGTCGATTCGTCCAATTGTATGGCAAACAATGGAGACTTCTTTATTTCATCCACAACTTGTTCACTGATGTTGTGTAAGATCTCATTTATCCGTCTCGATACTGTGTCGTTAGACAGATAGATCATTCAGCTTCCTTGCTGCTTCCTTGCCAAGAACAAGCCGCACCATCTCTTTTGCACAGGGGAACACAAGTTGCTCTACAATGGTATGAGGCTTCTTGGCCTGTGCAACTTTGTATGCAACAATGTAGGAAGAGCGCACTGCATTGCTTGTCTTATTGTAGAATGAACTTGTTGAGTCGAGGCACTGCCATTTCAGACCTGATAACAGCTGCTCAAAATAATCTTCATCCTTTTGCAACAAGTTGGGGTGACACTTTGAGATGGAGTTTCATCTTAGCCGGCTTCATTGAGTCATTCCCCAAGACTCTGAAACAAACACCACATTGTGGCAAATCCATGCCTTCTTTTTCTTGACAAGTGAAGCCGAATTTGATGTAGTCCTCCGAATACTTGTGCTTGACATTTCTTCCTGTCATTGCCATTATAAACAAACTATACCACACCTGTAAAACAGCACATGTAGCACAGGATGAAAGACACAGCAACTGCTCAGCACGACGGCGGCAGCTACACTGATGCGCAAGAGCCTGAGACGGAAGTTACTGGCAACACAAAGCTGTTGCGTCCTAGGTGATGCTATGGATAACGCACCACATGCTTGTGAACATGGCATAAAGCAGCCTAATGGTGGTGCCTGCTCACGCCGTGTGACTTTGGACAATGTTCCTGTCGACCACCGAAAAAGTCACTTTGGACCACCAGTGTTCCTTGGACCACCAGTTGAGAACCACAGCCTTAAGGGATTGTGCTGTCTCTTTGACCCCATATTATTCTGGGAAACTTGCAGTTTGGCAGAATGGCCATCCAGCCAATCCAGGGGAACTAAGGGGACTGGTCCAACAGATAACTACTCACTCCAGACCACGACCACTATAAAGAAAGAAAGGGTCTCTTATGTGGCAGCAATAGAACTAGCAGTCACCTATACAAATGAGAGTGGTACAAAAGGAATGATTGGAAACCGGGGAGGGTATACCAGGGGCCGTTCCCGAGAACAAGGGCATAGGGGACTGCAGGGAGATCAAGTATACCCGTATCAAGCTGACACCTCTAAACAGCAGAGAGAGAGAGAGAGAGAGAGAGAGAGAGTTAACTGATGATGAGATTCGCCGACTAGCCTGGTGAACACTAATGCAGTACGGAGCTAACCGCACACAGTGGGATGGGGCACCCACACCTGATTTAATTAGAGAGGCTATGAGACTACAACATACTCGTAAGGGGTAGCCTGTGTAACCCCCCAGCGCACCATTACCACCACCACCACCTCGTTAGCATATAAGGAACAGCTGAAATTGGGAAATAATTCTACAGGTAGAAAGAGGTTAAACCCTAAGGATGCATTATGCACCCAGGCCCAAGGACCCAGATACAGGAGCTTCAGCAAACCCAGCCAGAGAGATGGCTCAGCAACATAGGGTGCAAAGGGGATGGAGCAGCTGGGTGAAGAAAGTGCTATGCTCCTGCCCTGCAAGCTGTTGTGAAGCCTGCAAGTTCAAGGCATGAACAGGCTGGAAATCACTTCCCCTGCCATTCTAGAACTTAGCTGAGGGGTCGAAAGAGTTCCCCATGACAGCACCAAGTTGGGCTTTGGCCCATGCAGAGCTTGTCTCCTCCTGGCCAATGCTCTGGGCAGGAGGATCTTAAGCTTTCCTGGGGCACTAGCCTAGCCAGAGACAACGGGAGAAGGAAGGTCCCTGCCAATGAACTGTGCTCTCCAACTAAAGGTTGGTTCTCAGACAGCATTGGGAACAGGTAGTGCCTTGCCAGGAGAGAGATGGTGGAGCAGAGAGGTGGAGGGAGGGAGGGTGGTAAAGAGACGAGCAGAGAGATAACAGTAAGAGGGGGAGCACATAAAAGACCTATAGGTGGGCAGTAGAGGTGACATGTTACTATGTTACTACCCACTGCCTTGCACCTGCCTGCACTCACCAGCTTCCACAACTTACAACACAAAACCAGTACCGTCTGGAAACAAGAGAGGGGACGAGGCCCTGCTAGTTGAGAGAAGGCATGCAGTGGGGGTTGCGCTGATGGACCAGCATGGGGAAGCAGCCAACCCTGTGCTGCATCTTTGACATACCACTAACCTTGCCTATGCACCCCATCATTGGCCACTAGACCACCCACATTCATCTCTGGTGGGTGGGTGGCTGCTGAGCCAGAAGCTGGCCAGTGGCAGGACCCTCTGCCCTGAACTGATGAGGGTCAGGGGAGACAATACGTTACAATGTGCCCATTTAAAAAAAAAAAAAAAGTAGGAACACAAGCTGGAGGGCTTAAATATTGGACTGTCTCTTTAAAAACAAGTCTGGTCACTCTACATATATGAATAAAAAGATTGACAAGCATACAAATAGTTTCATTGAACAGATTTGCAAGTTTACCTTCTGTAACTGTTTTATGATTTCTTCATCTCTGTTCAAGTATGTTTTATAAGATGTATAAACACCTGGAAGAAAAAAAAGGGCACAACAAAAAAACAACTAAGACATATTTTTAGTAAAGAAAATACTAAGGCTTATGTTTTGATGATGATCAAGCATATTACCAGGTTTAGAATCCAAAGTCTTTAGGTTCTTGAGCTTTTTCACTTTCACTTGCTTTGGAACTTCACCTACCGAAATCAAATTAAAAACAACAACACCTTGAAAATCTTTCCTTTGGGTGCATGCACCAAAATACATACATTGTGTAAATACATGTGTTTATAAAACCTTATTTTTGTTTAGTACATTGCCTAATAACATAAAAAATATCAGAAATGTAGCTAAGCATTCCAACTAAACATATGCATGAAAATGTTATTATTAAACCTTGCAGACTTTTAATTGAACAAAAAGTGCTTTAAAATAAAAAAAAATTAAAATTCCTATTGGATAACTGTGATTAGCCTGGGGTATCACTCTAAATCAGTTGAAAAATGAAGTATTATTCCTGTAGCAAGAAGATTGCCTCCTCTATTCATCTTCCTTTGATTCTAATTGGGTGCATTCATTCACAATTTTGTTGATATTAAGGGTTGTCAAGCTTACTGAAATATAACTGGGGAGAGATCCACGGCCAGCATCTCTTTCCTACACAACTATTTTGTCCAGCCTAAGGGGATTTTAAAACTCTTAGAGTCATATTCCACCCCTCATTTCAAAAAAACTTCCCTAGGTCTGGTGAAGACAGTCCCTAGGCCAATAACAATAATTATACTCCAGAAGAAACACTACTTAATGCTTTCCCTTGAAAAATGGATTTCATACTGAAATATTCTGACCGAAGCTATTTCTGAATTCTTGGTCCACAGCAAAACATGGTATCAAAAGAAAAGGAGGATTAAGTGTAGACACTTAATATCACAAACAAATAATACTTTATGACCGTATCACCTGTTGGATGAAAATTTCTTTGACATTTCTGTCCACTTATCCTTCAGGTAGAAATTTTTATAAAAAGTCATGCAATTTTAAGCACTATAATGACTTAATTATGCAGGGTAATTGTGAAGCTATACCCCCATATTTTTATGGAAATATTTTTGAATATGCATAACTCAAATATGCTTTATGCAAAACAGGGCAAGCAGCCTTTCACTCAAGAACCTGTCATCCCCTGAATGTGTACATTCTATTTGTTGTATGTACAGGATGGACCTCCCTCATCCAGCACACTCAGGACCGGAGCAGTCTAGAACGAAGGGATTTACTGGACAAGAGGAGGTCCTTCCCAACATGATCTATGCTGCCCTGGCTAGGGCTCCAGTCTGGCTCCACTACTGCCTGCACAGCAGTGCCAGCCCACAGGCTGGAGCTTTGTGAGCTTTGAAGCTGCTGCTGCTACTGGCCCCTTACTACTGTCCAGCCACAGTGGCCGGAACTCCTTGCTGCTCCTCTACCCCACCCTCTGACATGGGGCTCCCAGCTGAGTTGCTGGCCCGCCCTGCTGCTCGTGCCCCACAGCCCGACCTCCCTATCCCTGGGCTCTGTGGTCCAGGAACATCTGTAGTTCTGCCAGACCACGGATGTTGCCAGACCCGAGAGTCTCATTTAAGGGAAGTACAACCTTTATCTTTCGCATATGCGAAGTTAGAAATACTAAGCAGAAACCTGTTTTAGTAATCTAAGTCTTCTAGTGAAAACTATTAGTGGAAATTAAGGAACTTAATGGCTTGGTCATTGTGTTTCTCCTGCAAGCCTAAAGTGTGGTTGGTCTTACAAAGACATGAGACCATGTTTCCTAGTGCTGAATTTGGTGTTTTTCCGGGGGTGGGGGAGCGGGTAGAGGAAGGAGAATTAAAAATTGGGCTCCCCACCCTGGGGAAATTTTATTTAAGGGATTGGAAGCAAAGAATGACGATATTCAACTGGCTTTTGAAACTGTGGACCCGCCTTAAGGGGAAACACAAGAACACCTAAAAAACAATCTGTATAGAGAGGGGTAGAGGAGCAATGCTAGGCTCAGACCAGAGAAAAAGAGCATCTCTGGCTTGGGAACAACTGCACTTGAAATAAAAACTAGGGTGAGAAATATGATTTTTAACTTCTCTTACTATATTAAGGTTAGCTGGAATGCTTTGTTTTATTTTTACTCCTACTTTTTTATACTATATAAAGCACACTTATTTATTATTAACCCAGTAAAAAATAATTGGCCCCCTCCCCGTAACAACAATATTAACCCAGTAAAAAATAATTGGCCCCTTCCCCGTAACAACAGCTGTGCATATATCTCTTTCATTGACAAAGAAAGCAAGCTTCATGATCTTTCCATGTACAAAACTCTTATTCTCTATAAGATGGATTTATTTGGGGTTTTGGTCCCTTTTGATGGCTGGGCTCCTAGGTGCTGTCAAGTCACTGTAACTGAGTCCTCCCGGAGCTGAGCTGTTATCAGTGTCTGCACTGCTCTGGGCTAATACATAATCCCGTGCCATTGCTGAGGGAGACCAGAGCTCAGCAGGACTTGGTAGTGGGGCACCCCAGAGGGCAGACAGGCAGTCTCAGTGGTATGATCAGCATATTGGGTGACAGTCTCAACAGGATTGCTGTGATCCAACCCAAAAAATAATATTCTATGCACCTTTTAATGATGGATACTTTTAGGGCTTGTCCACAAAGGACATTAGTGTGCAGTAACCAGGATATGACTCTACAGCACACTAGCTCACTGTGCAGTAATGTTCCGTATGTACACTGCTACAGTGCTTTACTAGTTTTGTAGTACACTTCAAGGTATTTGTGTTTGTATTCTACTGGATCTAAAAGAAGCCAACATCAGAAATTAACTGAATTTCATGCGTGACCCATTAGCAAAAGTTATCAGCTATTATTTTCTTGTCAGGGATATGAAAACAGAATCATTTGAGTTTTTAAAAAGATAAAAACATAGGCAGTAATGAGTATAATTACCCTCCTACCATGAAGACAAAAACCAGAATAGTTATATATATGTTAGATTAAATATCACCTTACAATATTTCCAAGAGTTGGGGTTTATTTAACACCCTTAAATTTCATGAAGAACACGAGAAACTCAGTCTTGGAAACTGGCTCACAACAATATTTCCAAGAGTTGGGGTTTATTTAACACTCTTAAATTTCATGAAGAACACGAGAAATTCAATCTTGGAAACTGGCTCACATAGCATTTAGATTAAGTTACTCCTTTATTAATCTCTAAGGGTATGTCTACACTACAAAGTTAATTCGAACTAACAGACGTTAGTTCGAATTAACTTTGATAGGCGCTACACTAGCGCTCCGCTAGTTCGAACTTAATTTCGAACTAGTGGAGCACTTAGTTCGATCTAGGTAAACCTCATTTCACGAGGACTAACGCCTAGTTCGAACTTACTAGTTCGAACGAAGGGCTGTGTAGCCCTTTAGTTTGTACTAGTGGGAGGCTAGCCCTTCCCAGTTTGCCCTGCTGGCCACTCTGGCCTACACCAGGCAAACTCTACTGCCCCCCTCCCGGCCCCCGGGGCCTCCCGTCGCCCTGATGGCTAGTACCAGTAATTGACACGCCTGCACTGTCCCAGAGAGGAATCTTCGCCCATCACATACCAGAGGTGCCCATTGTCTGCATTTTCCCAGGTGTAAATTATGCTTTGCACCCTTCGTGGGAAACTTGGCATTCAAAGCCATTTTTTCCTAATTGGCCACTTGAAATCAGGAAGAAGCCTACATGACCCAAGGGGTATTAAAAGAGGTTCAGCAGCCCACCCCATTTGAGCTCCAATCATCTACACCTGCTGGCAGGGATTGATTGTCTCCCGAGGTCTGTGGGACGCCCAACCTCGCCCTACTTCTTCCCGAGGGATTGAGAGAAAGACGCTGGCCACGCCAAGTCTGGAACGCAGGGGTGAGAATATATACCTGCTATGTGTATTTTGCATGCATTTAATAAGAGCTCA